TATTTATTTATTTATGTGTGTGTGTGTGTGTGGCCAGCTCAGCCCACCAGGGGACGGGGCTGGCTGGCATGTGGTGCTGGGGGATTGAACCTCGGTCCCTGTGCTTTGCTAAGCTTGTTCTAAGTAGGTGCTTTAGACCACTGAGCCATCTCACCAGCCCGCCAACTATTTTTCAATAAAGAAAAAAATTTTAAAAAAATTTGATAGGACTTCACAGTAAAACCACAAAAGCATGATGGTTTTGGTTGTTCTTTTGTGGTTCTTTTTGCTGGGGATTGAATCTACAGCCTTGATGCTGAGATACATCCCCAGTCCTTTATTTTTTAAGAAAAGTTCTTGCTAAGTCAAAATAAATTGCAATCCTCCTGCCTCGCTCTCAGAGTGCTGGGACTGTAGCACGTTACCACCGTGCCCAGCCAACCTGACATTTTCTTGTAGAACACTAATGTTTTGAGATGCTTTCACTTGATAGTTTTATTTTTAAAAGCATTTATGACTATTCTGTCTTTCTATTTCTTCTCGAATCAATTTTTTTTATGTGGGGGGGCCAGCTCAGCCCACCAGGGGGCAGGGCGGGCTGGCATGTGGTGCTGGGGGATTGAACCGTGGTCCCTGTGCTTTGCTAAGCTTCTAAGTAGGTGCTTTAGACCACTGAGCCATCTCACCAGCCCTCAAATCAATTTTAATGAGCTCTAATTCCTACAATCATGTCCATGCCATCTACTTTTCCAAATGTGGCAGTGGAATATTCCACATACTATTCCGTATCCTTTTTTTTTTTTTTTAACCATGCCCTGTGTCTTAGGAATTGGCAAAAGGAATCATAAGGCTCTTTCAAGAGTCTAAGACTCTGGTGTTTAAGTGGCTGTGATTTGTGCCACACAATCACACACACACACACACACACACACACACACCCCGACCCAACTGATGCTGTGAGTGCCTACTGTAAGGGCTCACAGAACCCTGGAGTGAGGCTGCACCCAGGATACCCAGTGTTACGGTTTGTGTCTTGATGTCCCACCCAAAGCCTCATGTGTTATAGACGGGGCTTCTTCGGAAGTGGCTGGATCTAAAGTGTGTGATGCTGGGACTGGCTCATGGTGCAGTGCTAGGATCAAGGTTGAAGAAAGGTGTCAAGAACCCTTCAGCTCCTAAGATCCACTCCAGATGGCCTTCAGGGTATGGGCTCTGCTGCCACCAGGGTGGCCTCTGCCATCCCCACAGAGGCTTGAGTCACCCCTCTAGCCTTGCTGCTTTCTCTCCTCACACACCCACCTTCCGGCTAACACAGGGCCACCACTGTGAATAGGAGTCTCCTCTCTGTCCTCCCTTCTGCCCCTCTTCTAGAAGCCTGAGAATGTCTGTCTTAGAATCATGGTGCTGTCTTAGAAAATGCCACTTTTAATTGCCAGTCTCATATGTCATCTCTTGGGAGTCTTACTATTTTCTTTAAAAAATTCTCTGAGTATGTCTAAGCAGAAAGAAACATGCTAATTTTCCCATCACACCAATTATACTGTGTATTTTTAAAGCATCTAACATTAAATCACATTGCTCTAAGCAGTTACATTTAAGATCAAATGCCACGGAGTAAACGAAGAAAACACTTGGAACTAATGCAGACAGAAGGGTGGTGGCTCACCTCTGGTAAAAGGGAAGGGTCGTTCTGTAAAAGCAGGACGCGGAGCTGGGCTTCGTTGAGGCCAAACAGTCCGTGGTTTTTCAGGACTTGAATGTTGACGGGGCTGTGGATGTTGTGGGAAAGGCTACACGTGGACCTAGAAGAACACCAAGCTCTCAATCAGGGCCAGAGGTGGAGGGGCCAGCTCTCGGCCGATTTGTGAAGGTGGACGATTACCGGGAGACGATCAGAAAGCTGGACCGAAGCAACTCCCTTCGCAGGGTCTTTTCCATGTCGCATGCTCACGGCCAAGTCACCCCCCACACCCCGCCCCTCACCACCCCCTTTCCACCCCTCCCACCGGGACAGGAGGCACAATGGGCCCCAGGGGCCTCTGTCATCACCAGCTGCGTGCGCACAGCTCTCTCCCGGCCACACACACTCCAGGCCTTGGTTTCCTGGAGTCAGAATGGACCAGGGTTTAAACCCTATACTGTGCAGGTTCAAAAGGTCTCTGATATCCCTTTCAGGAGCACTGGGAATAAGTGAAATCGGAAAGTTTAACCCAGATTTAACGCCCGTAATCCTAGCACCCGGGAAGCTAAGGCAGCAGAGAGTTGGAGGCCAGCCTGGGCTACAGAGAGATACCTGGTCACCTACATGAACAAACAACCGGTGGAGATGCTGGGAGCCTCGGTTGCAGCCCGGGCCCACTGCTGCCCGCCCTCCGTGAGCCGTCCCTGCCCGGCCCAGGCCCCGGGCGCACCCCTCACCAGCAGTCCCGGTGCGGGCACTTGCCCAGCATGTGCCGGCGGCAGAAGTGCAGCTGGTCGCAGCCCTGGCACTCGCCGCGCTGGTAGCGGGCGCACAGGCGCGCGGAGGACACTGCCACCACCCTGCAGGCCTGGGCGTCGCCCCCCTCGGCCTCCGCGTCGTCCTGCAGCAGGAAGCGCTCGGGCCCCGCGCGCCGCAGCACGTCCCCGAGGCGCGCGGGCGACAGCTCCACGTGGCCGCGCAGGTCCTGCAGCGGCATGCGGCCGCCATGCGCGCACAGCACCTTAGTGAGGAACGAGCACACGGTGGGCTCCGCCATGGCCGGACCCGGAGCACGGCTCCGCCCCGTCACGTCCGCGCCGGGTGGGCAGGGCCAGGCGGGTCGCAGGGCGGGCAGGGCGGGCTCTGCTCACCCCTGCGCCGTGCATGCTAGCACTGAGTGCTTGGGGAGGCGGAGTGGAAGGCTCCAGAGCAGCTGAGCTCCTTGCTGGGCCTGCGAGGGACTGCAAAGGCGCTGCAGCCAGGTGACTGCCGGGGACTGGCCACGCGTGGCCCTCTGCATGCGTTTGAGCCTGCCCCAGTTCAGATGCGGTGTAGTGGGAAACGCGCACACCGGCTTTGGCAGGTTGAGAATGAAAAACGTATATAAAACATCTCAAAGATTGTATAGGAATCACATAATTGTTATAGCAGTTTTGCCTGTGTCTGTTTTTCTCGCATAGCAATAAGACAGTCTTCTTTTGTTGCATTTTATTTTGTGAAACTGGAAGTGCAACCTGGGCCTTAGGCAAGCGCTCCACCACCGAGCTGCACTCCCAGCCCCGAACATGTTGAATTATGCATAGACCGGTGCGCGCTAAGCATCTACCATTTATGCCCAACAGCTTGTATTGTTTGTTTGTTTGTTTGTTTGTTGAGACAGGGTCTCACTATGCAGTTCAGGGTGGCCTTGAACTCTCCATATAGCCCAAGCTGATCTCCAACTTGCCGCAGTTCTCCTGCCTCAGCCTCCCAAGGGCTGGGATTACAAGTGTGTGCCACCACGCCTGACTACAGCATGCACACTTAATGACTGAATACCAAGATGGACAAGGAATGCGGGAAATGCAGCCAGCCTCACTGTCTCCCAAGGCACTTGTGAGTGCTGAATGAGTCCATGTCAAGTTGTGTAAAGAAGCTGAGGAACAGCAGTATCAGAGGACTCTGGGGGCGGGAGATGGGGTCACTGAGGAAGGCTTTGGGCTAGGAGAGACCTGGGCTCCACGTAGTGTGCGCGAAATCCGCCTAGTCTTCGTTTCTGCGCTCAGCAGAGCATTCCGACCTCCCCTCCTAGGTGAGTCCCCACCCTGGTGGGAGGAAGAGGCCTGTGGTGTTGACTTATGTATGTATTTGTAGCATTCAAGCTCAGGGCAGCTTCGTCTGGGCCATCACTGTAGCCCCACCAGCTAAGCGTCTTGCAGGAAGGGAGATCTTCTGCAGCAGGACCAGGAGACGAAGGCAGGAGGGCAGACGAAGGTGAAAAGAATCAAGATGCGTTCCTGTGTAGCAGCTCTGCACACTGAATGTACCCGTTACTACAAACGTGGACTACTAAAGTTCATTTGAAAATGAAATATTACAAACTCTTGGCCATAATGTGGGATGGTTTGTTTTATTTATTTTGAGGTGTTGAGGCTCAGACCCAGGGCCTTGTACATGCTGGGCAGGTGCTAGCCTCTGAGCTATATACACCCGGGCAAGATAATTGTTTTATGGAACCCCCTGGCAGCAATAAGAGAATGGATTTCTAGAAAGCAACACGAGATAGGGACGAGATAGGGAATAAAAGTCGGGAAGCCAGCTGTGAAGGGCTAGAAGGCCTGTGTTTGCTGAGCTGCATCTGGATGGACAGTCTGTGCAGGGTGGGTGCTTGGTGCACAGCGATATGTACCATCCTGGACTTTGAAGGAGATGAGAAACAAAGGGACACAAATCTGCCTAGGTCTCAAAGTGACCGAATACAAAGATGGCTAAAGCACTGGGACCATGGCCAGCCTGGGTTGAGTCTCAGTTGTGGCTGCAACCTGCTCCTTAGTTCTTCCTGTGCAGCCTCCCATCCTTCCACATCTCTCCTCCCTGCCCTGTACCCCCTTACCCATGTTTAGGGGTTCACCTCCCAAATAGACTGCTTCTGACAGAACCCAACCATAAGAGATAGACCAAGAAAAAGATTTAGAGAAAAGTGAGTATCAGGTGCGGACACATCTCTCGGTAGTGCCAAGCTGAAAACCAAGCCTTCATTTGACTCGTGGCCTCTGGGGGGCATCTCTGATGCAAACGGTGGCATGTCTGACAGCTGAAGTCGGGGGAACAATCAGCTCATTCATAAGGAGACTTTCAGTCAGGACAGTCCACATAGGCAAGCAGGGAATGTGGAATTTGGGAAGCAAAGGTAAAGGCCAGGCAGGTTCACAAAGGAAGAGAAATGAGTTGAGATTGGAGGTGGCATTATAGGACCAGAGCTTTAGAGTTTAAGCAGTTCCTTAAAAATTCCCATAATCTCTTGCCAATTGTGAAGCTCCTGCTCAGACATGCTTCGATAGCATGGGCTAGGAATAAGTCTCGCTGGGAACATACACTGGTGTTACATACCAGTACATCCCATCTGTCCTTATTCTTCTAAACAAAACCTGTCTGCTGTCCCTCTGCTGTTCTGAAGCCATGTAGGTCCTCGGCCACAGCCCACTGGCCCTGCGCATACACACCTCCCACTTGGTACCCAATGCCCTTCTTGGTTATCTTTACAGTTGCTAAATGGAGACCGGAAGTAGTTGCTGCTTCACTTTGCTTTCTCCCTCCAAATGCTGGGCTGAAGAGGCCACTCGAGAAGCCAGACTGTGGCCAGATTTTACAGGGCCCCTACTGTGATGAAACATACAAAGAAAACAAAAGAGCATGCACCTAGAAAAATAATTTCTCAAGGCTCTCAAATATCTTCTTGTGCTTGGTTTGGTGTGTTTTGTGTACTTGAATGAAGGTATTTTGGACAGAACCTGGTTTGCTGTATCTTTCTTTCTACTGTGGTCCAAATTAAATACTAGCTCTACCTTCACTTTATCAAATTCATGCTACCCTATCTGTTGCCTTCTTTCGCCTGTGTTCTCCATTCAAAGCTCTGTGATTTAAAAAGGGTGTGGAGAAGGGTTTTTGGAGGACTGGCCGGCTGGGTAATATACTTTTAAATTTTCTTCAAAGTGGGGCCCTGTTGGCAGCCCCAGGACAGGAGGAAGGGGGACGAATGTGAGCAGCTGCCAGCCCTTAACGATGTGCCAGCCAACTGTGGGCTTCCCCATCATCTTCTCTGAAGACTATTGCTCCTTGCTCATCAGATCCTGGAATGATGTCTTCTTAGTCACTTTCCCAGTGGCTGAGACACAATACCCAACACCCACAGCCTAGAGGAGGAGACATTTATGAGGCTCACAAATTCAGGATTTCGGTCCATGGTTGGCAGGCTCAGGTGCAGAAAGGCCATGGTGGAACAGTCTGGGCAGAAGAAAGCTGCTTACCTCATGGTGGTGAGGAAGCAAAGGAAGGAGGAGCCAAAGAGAAAGACCCGCCCCTGTAGGTCCCCACCCCAGCGACCCAGCTAACAGCAAGTCAGTCCGAGAGCACCCATGAGCCAATCACCTTCCGAACACCCAGCCACTGGGCATAGCAGAGTGCTGGGGATAATCCTTTAACTAAGCCTAACAGGTGATAAAAATCATGTTGTCTTCTCCCCTTCAAGTAAACCAGTATCTGCAGTTCATTGTCTTTATGGTGATACCAACATATAGAGCAAATAAAGGCAATGGAACAGAATTTTTTTTCTTTTTATTAGCTAATTTCAAATCAAGCAAGCCAGGAAAGAATACAACTTGATTACTAAGACATAAATAGTTGATCTTCCTAATTCTACAGGCTTTTTGCAAGGCACCAGCATAGGAAGAAGGCAGCTAACCTGGGCATTGAGTATAACAGAAAAGTAAGACATCAATTTTGGAGTTTGAGCTTACATTCTAATATAGAAAGATAACCATTTCAAATTGTATAGACCCCCAAAAAGAACAAATTAAGGCACAAAGCATTTTAAAAACTGGGGGTTTGAGAGACAAAGATCTCAGCTATGAAAGTGACAATGAAGTTGATCTAAGGATGCTAGACATGAACTATGTCAGTGGTTCTCACAGTGGCATATTATATCGTGACGGGTCGTGGATGGTCTCATAACTGAGGATTATACCGTCACCAAGTAGATGTAGCCAGAGATCACAGATGTCCTCCAGCGTGTGGATCAGTCCCACACAATGAAGAATTATTCTGCACCCCGTACGACTGTCTAATGTCCTGTAGGACATTTAGGTAGGACCTACAACTCGTCTGAGAGAATAAAATCAATTCATTTGTTTCTCCCGAGGCAATTTGTAATTCGTCCTATTATTCTTATTTCAGTTAAGGTTATTTCACCCATTGCTTTACCATAGACAGATAAGGCATGTGGTCTGTTATGACTTACCCTAGAACTGATTTTTTTTTTAACTTTTTTTAAAAAATGTATTTAGTACAGGGTCTACAGGGTCTCACTACATAGATTGGGCTAGTAGTGATTCTCCTGTTTACATCCTCCCAAGCGCTGGGATTACAGGCGTGCGCCCCCACGCCCAGTCTCAATCGCGGTCTCAGCGCACCCCGGGGGTCGGGGCCGGCACGGCAGGCCAGGATCGAACCCCAGTCCGTGCATCTGCCTAAGCAGGTGCTTTAATCTGCTGAGCTATCTGGCCGGCCCTAAACTGATTTTCATTGTGTCACACATACCTCTAATATTTCATTGTTCTGTTCTATAGGCAATAGCTCCTGATCGACTCTTACGCCCAAAATTATTCCTTGTAAGGGTAAACATCTGTCTGGCTTATAGCGTAGTCATGCCTGAGCATTTTATAATAAAATTCATTCTATTTTCATTACAAAGCTTGCCTCTATTCCAATAGGACTAGAGCAGTCAATACTTAAAAAAAAATCCTTTATGTAAGTAGATGATATTCTCTATGAATCATCTCAGGACAGAAAGGGGGTGACACTATAAAACATCTGCTCTGAAAAGGATGACTAGGCCTGTAAGGATTTGTGGTTGCCATAGCGGAGGCTGAAGGCAAGGGGCACTAGTAGCATTTAGCATGTGAGAGCCAGGTACGCGGAACCCTCTGCAATACACTGGACGGCTTCTCACAATAAGAAATTATTCTGCGCCCTATACGAATTTTGAATGTCCCACCTGACATTCATATAAGACACAAAGCTCGTCTGCAAGAATATGGCTCCTCATTTTTTGTTTCGACAATCTGTACATTTTCTTACATAGTACTGTATTTCAATGAAGGTTATTTCATTCTTTCTCCCACACACACATAAATATTACCATATGCAAGCAAGTGGTTGTATCACTAGGCTATATTCTAATGTCCACTCATATCCCTGCTTTATTCATTTTTCCAAGCTTCTCTGCAAAGAGTTTCTGATCTACTTTCAAGTTTACATTCATTATAAGTAGGCGTAAGCATCTGACTTCTTCATGTCTTCTAGTAATGTAATATTGTATCTAAGTATGTACCTTTTATTTCTTTTAGGTTAATATTAGTTTGTTTCAATTTTTTACATTTAGAATCAAGGATATAGAGCCTTTTAACTGTATTTTGAGGATAATAAAGCTTATCTTGCAAAGTATTTGTTATTAAAAAAAAAAAAAAAAAGCAGACGTGCTCACTGAGAACCACTGAACTAGGTAAGAAGGGGACCAAGAACTGCCAGGAAGCTGAGTGTGTTGTGCAGAAGGAAATAAATGAGTGGGGTGGGAGTGGGGGAGGGGAAAATCCTTTGGGGGTTGTGATCATGACTTAGAACTTTATCCCAAAAATGCAGTCCAGGTTGGGTTTGCAACCCCGTCAAGTAAAACCTTAAATGGCCATTAAGTAGAAAACAGATTAGAAAGGGACAAAGATGCGTAAGAAGTAAAACTGGCCTTAGGAACGACTTCAACGTGTATGATGAGGCGGGGCGAGGAGCCAGTGGGGCAAGGAGCTAGCGTGGCTCTGCAGTTCTGCTTGGACGGAATGGATCGAGTGACTGTTTTTACTCAGAGAGACTGCTTTTACGGATTCCTCTGAGAGAGGGAGACAGAGATTTCCATCTTGGACTACAGATGCCTGTGAAATACCCAACTCGAGGTGCTTCCCGTGCAGCCGGGAAGAGCTGCATACGTTATACCTCTACAGGGCAAGGATCAGAGTCAAGAGATGGAAACCACCAGGAGAAAAAAATAAATGAATGAAAAGAATATTTGTGGCAAGCTCCCAGAAAAGCACCAGACTGTAAAAATAAAGTCTGAACCCTTTTTTTTTTTTTTTACCTTTTTTTGTACTGATCTAAAATCTAACATAAAAATCAACTCAAATGCCAATCAATTATTTGTAACAGGTCTGCTAGAAAGAGCTCAAGTACGAAATTTTGGCAAGTGGTATGAAATGTTGAAAAAGGAAAAACCTAACTGACAATAAGGAAAGAAATATTGGCTGGGGCATTTCAATAGCTCTAAAAAAAACGATGACAACTCCACATAATCCACTCTATTTACACAAGTCCCTAGCAGGCATGAGACCCATTTGGGACATTGTTCCCTTTGTTAATAATTATTCTGTGCTCACCAGAAAGCAAAAGGCACTTCCACCGGAGGCCCGTCCTCCTGTCAGGGCAGCCCTGCCATGCGTTTCTTGGCTAGCCTCACCTTCCATGCAAACGACCACAGTCGCACTTGAACTCATGCTCATGGGACTCTGAATACTGCAACTCATTTCTCCTAAAATACATACACTTTCCCAACAGCCTGACCTGGAAAAATAAAAGCTTTCTCTGTCATTAGATTAATTAGAACATAAATGTCTACTTTGCCATAATTATATAACAAGCCCAAATGTACAATTAACTCCAGTTGGTGGCCATTCTGAGTCACACTTGGTGGCTCTTGTGACTGCATTCCAGGAAACGCCAACCCTGTGAGGTCTGTCTTGTAAATTCATGCCGAAATATAGATGCGCTCCCAAGTCAGTTCATCCCATGATAAGGTACAGCACTGAGGTTATGTCTCTAATGGGGTTCATAGTACCCTTTTTATTTTTCTCGCTACCATATCCCTACGCATTTCTCTTCAACCTTCATGATCTTCCATCCAAGCCTGTACCATCTTTTGTACCCATTTCAATAGGCAGTATTAGCTTACTTTCAAATCTCCCAAACTGGTATTTTTTTTCAATTGAACCAAAATAAAACCATGTTACCCAGCACACTCAAAGAGTAAGTGAGAGCAAATGGTTGGCATAAGTATAGGAAATCTAGAAACCAGTCTCAGCCAGTTACAGCTAAGATAGTACAAACTCTCCAACACATTGAAGTTATTAGGAGAGCGTTTAAAAAATATTACTGCCTGGCTTTCACCCCAAGGAGTGATTTCACTGGGAAGCATACAAGCTGGGCATTGGAAGTTATGTTCAGCAAAGTTTGGGAACCACTAGTGTCAGACGCTAGGTAACTTAGTGAGAAAATAGAAAAGTCTAACCATTATTTACAGCAATTTGGTCCTAGATCCCAGATAACGCTGCCTTCATTGTCTCTAACTAATCACACAGGCTTTCTCTTTCTCTTTCTCTTTCTCTTTCTCTTTGTCTGCTTCAGTATATTCAATCAAGTACGCTGGGTAAATCTGATCTTTCTGGAAGATGACGAAAACAGAAGGATTCACCATTGTATCCACACAGCTATTGTACGGTGGAGGAGGGCTTGCATACAACATGTTTCCCTCAATAAAATCTCCCGCCAAGACTCGGACCACAAACATAACGATGCTTCTGGCATCATCCGGGCAATTTCTGTGGGAATAGATAGCTTCCCTTGAGAAGTGATTTCCTAGAAATAATCAGAAAAAGAAAAGTTGAGAATTACTATAAAAGCATCAGTATGGTTTACAACATTACTTACAGAGACTCAAGTGACAAAGGAGATGACGAGTATGTCAACAATACTGACACTATAGATCCCTGTACTTAAAAAATGTGTGCACGTAAATGATGCAGACCCATGCAGTGGTACCATCTGTGCAAGAAGGGCCACAGAAGCTGGGTAAATTGAAACTGATGAGCCAAAGATACTTCAGGGCAGAGGCCACTGTACAGTGTCCACGCTACAAGGCACAGAGGTCATTTACTACTGATGGGAAGGTCTTGGAAAAATACAAAACCAAGCTCTCCGAAGCGCAATCCTTTAACTTCACAATGCCCCAAGTAACCATGGAGTTTTCCCCAACTGGCAGAATACATATGAAAATTTTCCTATTTGTGTTTTTCTCACTGTTGAATGCTTTGCTGCCATTTTATTTTTTTTTTTTTCATTTACACTGAACAAATTTTTCTTTTCATTTTCATTATTTATTTATTTATTTTTCCATAATTTTATTGAGAAACAAATAGCAATGAGACAGTTTCAAATCAAATCGCTAGGACAGTTTCAATAATTAACACACTGCATGCATTCTCCTTAGTGGTTAATTGCTGTATAAGATGCAGACTTGAGATCCTATTTACAAACACCATTAGAACAAATCATTCTATTCATTAAGAGAATGTAACTATATATCTATCCTAACCACTTTGGATACACAGATACAAAATGGACATTCTTCTGTATCCTCTTTTTTTGTTAAATTCCATCATTTAAATATTATAGGTGTGTAAACTCAGCAAAATATTCTAAAAGAGTCCAATAGCCCATAATTTTGCTGCCATTTTAAAGGCAATGTACATTCTGATTTCTACACACACACACATACAAAATCAAGATGTCAAATTAATTCTTTTTTACTTGTATAACTGTTTAATGTTTTCCATTGATTGTGTTTGTTATCATCTTTTTCATAGATGTTTACACTCCAGGAACATGGCTTTTCTTGAATAGATGAGGTACTGGGCATTCTGGATGAATGATGTTGAACTGTGTTTGAAGTAAAATTTTAAAAAGCTATGGTGTGAATGTTGAATGTCCCCCGTGGGTTCAAATCCTTAAGGTTTGGTTCCTGGAATACACGATTAGGAGGTGGAAGCATCTGGGAGATGGAACCTAGGGGAGCCTCTTGGGTCATGGGGGATGAGCGCTCTAAAGGGACTGTGGCACTCCCTCAGCCCCTCTCTGCACTGTTGCTGGAGATCCCATTGTCTCGGCTCCACCACCCTCTCCACAGACAAAGTCATTGTAGGCGCTGTACTTTTGAACTTCAAACACTGTATACACTAAATGCACCTACTCTTGTTTAGTTGCCTGGGGAATTTGTCTTTAATAACCCAAAGCTGACCACAAACTAGCTGACTCTCAGGTCCACTCCCATTCCTTTTCCCCTGGCAGTGAACAGCTTGGTGGAAAAGTGTTCACAAACATTTCTATACATTAATGTATATATGTATGCACACATATTCTGGCATAGAACTTATTTGCTCATAGCAGTATTATGCTGTATGAACAGTTCTACCCATAAGAAACTGACAGGCTTAAATTTCACATGTCATCCGTCCCTTAAGATGGCTACAGCCTCCAAATACATCCGTAATGTACTGAAACATCATAAACGTAGGAAGCCCTCACATCATTCCACCGCTTAAAACCTTTCATGAACTCACTTGTCCTTGTGGTAGAGCTGGAACACTTTGTTGTTTGGCCATATTTTGTAGGGCTCACCCTTCACTGTCTACACATTGGCCTATGACACCGTTGAGTCCCCCTTGTATCCCTTTCTCAGGAGCATCTCTGGAGCAGGGTTACAGCTGCCTTGTTCCTCTACTGCAGCTGTACATTTTCATCATTTAATTAATTACAGAAAATGATGTGTTTGGACCCATGTCTAAATTGTTCATGACTGTGTGCCCAGCAGCCGGTGTACAGAAGGCATGCGAGATATTAGCTGCATGACTAATTTCTTTTTTTTTCTTTTT